TTTTGACAGATGGAAAAGTAGGTTCCACTTCAAGTGCAGGTTGGACAGTAGAAATTCATTCATATTTTTGCCATTCATCATTACAGAGGGTTATTTTGATTTCATATTAATCAGGGTTATAAGAATGAGAAGAGAGCTTTTGATAGTATTACTGCTATGTGCAAATCAAAACTATTTACACTAAACATAAACGATTTGTTATTGGTGTGTAAAATGCAATAGCAAAGGCAAAACAAGTTTCAAGTTTGTATTTTTGTATTTGTTCGTCAAATGAATAGAGATGTGATGATAAGACTTGGTTTTCATTGCCTCACAAAGATAAACAGAAGCAGAGAAGCAATGCAAAGGCAAACCTTTGCGCTAATGATGTTGGTTAATGTACGTCCTGATGATGCTTCAGATCTGAGTGTGCAGCCAGATCCTTGACAGTTGTTGATCTTTGCTGAGGACAGATGTTAGACGTGCTCTCAAACAAACACTGTACTCTTGAGCTTACAGTTCTGCTCATGGTGGCCTCACAAAGAGGGAGATAAAAGATTGGCATCGAAATAATCCCTGTGGATGATTCTGTTTTTCCTGGGTGTGGCTACGTCCTTCAATCCAGATAGAGGAGATAGACAACTTCATTCAGACTCTGGCCAGGCATATACAATAATTATCATATTTTATATGTTTTTAAAAGAAGTCTCTTGTGCTCACTAAGGCTGTATTTATTTGATCAAAAACAGTAAAAACGGCAACTATTGTGAAAAATTATTATTATAATTTAAAAGAACTGTTCTCCATTTTAAAATTAGAATTAAATGTAAAAGTTTTTAAATTTAAAAGTAGAATTAAAATTAATAATGTAACCCCTTAAATCAAAAACACACCGGCAGAGTACTGAATTAAGATTAGAACGAAGCTCAATCACTGGCGTTCCAATCACCAAGCGTTTCTTTGATTCCTGGGCTGTGGGTTATTTCCTTTGACTGTCATGAGTGACCGTCTTGTATGTAACATTGAAGTGCCCTCAGAGGTTCCAGCTCCAGCACATCCCTGCAGAACCATCGCTCGAAGTCTCAGATGTTCTCACGAATCGCGAATGACGCAAATGCTTTAGGTGCCAGCTCTTAATGGAAGCCTTTTATGTTTTCACTTTTTCTCAAGTCTTTCATTTGTACCTTAACCTGTAATTAATGTTTTTACACACTCATCTCGGCTGTTGAGAGTGTTAGTGCACACCTACAGTCATTGAAAAGAGACGTTTTTCTAAGGCTATAAAAGTTAGGCAGGTATTGCGTGCCTTGTTGTAAGAAAAATAAACAACCCTCATAGTGTTTTTTTACTTGAAAGCCTTCAGGTGTCAATCTGAAACCGGCAATCCCAATAAACATTTAATTAGCCTGCTTCACATGTGCACAGATCCTGTGGATATTTTGCATGTAAACACTTTATGAATGCATATCCATTACTGACTGCATCAGTGACCTTTGTGAAAACACCCATAGGTTTGTACATTCATTACCAAATTTGTGCTTGGCCTCCAAAGGGAATTCCTTCACCTTCTGTCTCTTGTATAGGAAAAAAAACACACATTTTAAGCAGGTTGTTTTGGCCTGAGCTTCCCGAAAGGTATAGTTGAGGTAGAATATAACATAAAGCATTTCAAAATCCACTTTGCCTCAGTAATGTGCATGTATTTGGGTCAGTTTTTATGTCTTGAAGTAAAGGAATAGTTCAGCCAAAAATTAAATTTACTAAAAAGTCACTTCTCCTCAGGCCATCCAAGATGTACATGAGTTTGTTTCTTAATGGGAACAGATTTGGAGAAATTTAGCATTACATCACTTGCTCACCAATGGATCCTCTGCAGTGAATGGGTGCCGTCAGAATGAGAGTCTGAAAAGCTGATTAAAAACATCACAATAATCCACAACAAAAGCTTTTTGGTTTAGCAAGTTCTCATATGAAGCTAATTTCATCACAACAGCAGATACATGCTCACTGCCGTCTCTTCTGTGTGCTACAGGTATATAACCGCACTGACAGATTCTGAGGAAGAGGAAAGTGACAATGACCGACAACCACTGCAGGAACCAGTGGATGAACTCACTGCTCTGCTGCAGAAAGCAGACCGACTACACAGCTGTAACGGGGCAGAGAAAGCACAAGGCCTGAATGCTCTGCTGGAGAGGAAAGCAGAGGTATGTAAATTACAGCTCAAAAGTTTGGGGTCAGTATGTTTTTGAACTACTTTGAATACTTTTGTTCAACATGGTTGCATTAAATTGATTAAAAGTGACATTTATAATTTTACAAATGGTTTCTATTTCAAATAAATGCTGCTCTTTTGAATGTTTTATTCATCAAAATAATAAATAATAATAATAATAAATAAAACGGTTTAATAAATTACTTGCATTACATTTATTTAATTTATGTAATAAATAAATTACCTTAAAGCAGTGGTTCCCAACCCTGGTCCTGGAGGCACCCCAACACTGCATGCTTTGCATGTCTCCTTAAAGCAGTGGTTCCCAACCCTGGTCCTGGAGGCACCCCAACACTGCATGCTTTTGCATGACGTATGAGTATGAGTTCATGAGGTGAACTAAAGGTGCGTTCACGCCATATCGGAATTCCCGTAATTACGAGATTCCAACTTTTAAAAAGCGTTCACGTTCTTGTAGAACTCGTAATTACAACTTGTGAACTGGGAGTTTTCTGAGAGCTACGACTTGTACCACATGACCGCTGTACCACGTGACCACCGCAGGCTCTGTTTAGGCGTTGATAGTGTTGCCATAGAAAAGTATAATTCCGAGTTATGGCGTGAACGCAGCATAACCCTTTAATCAAACACACCTGATTCAGACCATCACCTCCTCACCAAGTCCAAGACCTGAAATTGGTGTGTCAGAGAAAGGAGACATGCAAACTGTGCAGTGTTGGGGTGCCTCCAGGACCAGGGTTGGGAACCACTGCCTTAAAGTATATTAAAATAGACATCAGTTATTTTAAATTGCAATAATATTTTCACAAAATTACTATATTTTTGATCAAATAAATACATTCTTGGTGAGCATAAGAGACTTCTGTCAAAAACATTTAAAAATCTTACTGACCCCAAATTTTGTTGTACGACGGCTTCTGGTTTATGAATAAAAATGTTTTATTAACACACGTCATGTATGTGCTTACAGTTTGATCAGAAGTGCCAGTACCTTTGGCGGTTGTCCAGAGCCTATGCAGATGCACATGATTTTGCCCTAGACCTTGCAGAGAAGAAGAGCTTTGCTGAGAATGGTAATTATGCTTTAATCACAGCTTTTATGATTACAGGTTGACATGCAATACAATACATTGCAGACATTTGTGTCAGAATTGAATAATTTGACATAATGGTTCAAATTTAGTCCTTGCTTTCGATTACCATGAAATATCATTGAATTATCAGCATTTGGTGGCGTTTCTCTGCAAATAATAATTCATACAATTAAGTGTGATTTATTAAATTAATTAATTGCCATATAATTTGATTGAGTTAGAATAAAATTGAATGACAAGCCTAATTAATTTATAACCCATCTTGACTTATTCATGAAAACACAACTACCTCTAATCTTTAAGTGTTTGCTGTCTTTAGGTTATGAATGCCCGTGTGTCCTGTATTTTGCTCTTAATCTGTCTGTGCTCTCTATTCTCACGCTGTTTCTTTTTTTCCTTCTCTCACTGCCAATTACATTTAACACAATAGCCACTCAGTCCATGTGTATATGGGGGGACAAGATCAAGTTCAGTTTCCGACCCTTCTTTACTATTATGCCTTTAATTGCTGTTTTACAGTCACTTCTTTTTTTGTATGAAGGCTTTAGTGTCAAAGACGTCGGAAGCAGACCAATTATCACTTATGTTTAAATCTTTAGAGGAAGTATGTCTTATTAGTCCAGTGGTGAACAGGTGTGTGATCATCTGCTGCAAAATAAATGTTTTAATTTTCGTGTGAAAAAAGATCGGATGCTACTGGTCTGTCACATCTTGTTTATTTTGTTTGCATTTTTCATTTTAGGGAAAAAAGTTGGTGAAAAGTCGATTTCCATCAATCCACTGTGTGCTGAAGGTCATCAGTGGTGAGTTATTAAAAAAAAAGTTTTTATTAACTGACTAACTTCAGCTTATTTCAGTTTCATATGTCAAAATATCCATTTTATTTTTTAACCTCATAGTCATATTTTATTTTATTTCAGCTTTATTTTAATTAACAAAAAATATATTTTTGTAGTTTTAATTTTAGTTTTAGTTAATGATAACACCACTGGACTAGGGCCCAGATTTACTAAACAGGGCAAATTAGTGTTAGACTGCAATTATATTATTGACTGCTATAATGTTGTAAATCTGTTAGTAAGTCTGGCCCTAGATTTAAACACATGGTCCAAACCTAATAAAACATGGAAAAATGGACATTAAACATTGGTACTCTGAAGACTGCAGCCACCAAATTGCTTGTATTTCTAGTGGGTACATAATGAATAAAGCCTCATAACTCTCCAACGATTTGATTAAGAAACTTTAAACTTATATTTCCCATCTACTTCTTGTGCCTGTTTTGTTTTCTTTCACCCACCAGTAAACATTAACTTGTATGTGTGAATCTGTAAAATGACAATATAAACTAATTCCCAGCCTTTCACGTACCTCTCACTGACACACTTTTGGCATAGCTTAGACTTAGGTGGCCCATTTATTCAACAAATTCAATGTGCTCAGTTCGGTTTCAAGAGGTTTTGCATTATTCAAGAGCATGTTCAGAAATCTGTCCCTCATAAGTAGAGAAACACATTTGCATACTTGTTTGTAGCACCTGGGCTCCTGTGTGTTTCTGCGGGTGTCTGAATGTATGTGTGGGTGTCCTGCACCGGAGGTGTTTTACAGGCTTGCAAGCTCCTCTGGATATGCTCACTCATCTTGCGAAACCCTCTTGTTAGCATCACCACACCCCAGGAATGTAAACACATGCAAAGACCGCCCCAAGCTAACATATAAATACACACACACACATACACCTACTTAATTGCTTAAAATGTATGTGTTTTTGTTGTAGTATTAGTGTATATACACTACTGTTCAAATGTTTGGGGTCACTAAGGTTTTTTTTTTTTTTTTGAGAATGAAGATTTTATTCACCAACAATGCATTAAATTGATCAAAAGCGGTAGTAAAGACATTTACATTGTTACAAAATATTTCCAAATTTCAAATAAATGCTGTTCATTTGAAAACTTTGTTCATCAAATAATTCCGAAAAAATACATCACCGTTTCCACCCAAATAATAAGCAACATAACTGTTTTTAACATTGATAATAATTATCCATAATATAATAATAATATAGAATTATATTAGAATGAAGGATCATGTGACACTGAAGACTTGAAACATATTAAAATGTAAAAATCACTCTTTTTACTGTATTCATCAATTTATTCATACTGTATTCATTCATTCATCATACTCCTCAATGGTGAGCATGTGAAAGGCTTCTTTTAAATGCAAAAACAATCTTCCCAATTCAAGACCCTTTATTGGTAGAGGCATATTTTGGCAAATGGCATAGTTTAGATTACCGACTTACTGGCTTAAATGTTATGTGGTTGCTTTTGTGCCTGTCTATTGTTCATATAGTTTTGAAAACGTTAGAAACAGACATTTCCTCATATCAAAAGACACATGATGACTTGTCTGTATTGTGCTTCATGTATTGCATCATGAAACATATCACTCAACACATTTTACAAGTTTCATATCATCAGGAGTCATATCCTGCCTAATCCAAGAGCAGGGCAAGCTGCCTGTTGATTTTCTTTTAGTTGAAAGCAGTTGATTGCAAGACAGCTTTCCATAGACCAGGTCAGCTTTGGCTCCCTTTAGTTTAATTCTTTGTGAGCAGTAATGGTTTGACTGTTTTGATGGCAGTCAATCAATAAAATACTGTAATATGTAGTGTTAATGTTTATTTTACAAATATTATAATATGAATTCTAATATGTGTACGGTGTCTAACACCACAGTAACACTGCATATTACAGTATTTGTGAGCTTGGCAGCATATGTTTACATTTGATTTGCAGGGTGCACTGTAAAAAAAAAATCTGTGACATTTACGGTAAAATACTGGCAGCTGTGTTTGCTAGAACTTCACCGTAAAAAATATGGTAGCAACATTTTAGGTTTTACAGACTTGACTTAAATTCACAATAAAATACCGTATTTCATTAACTGATGTAATGTTAATAAACCAACATATTGAAGTACTAATATCTGTTTTGAATCATATGAAGGTATGTTCACTGATTCACAGTGTCTGTTTTTGTGCCTGTGTAAATCCCTCTGCAGTGCTTTCCGTTCTCTCACAGACGCCAGGATTATCACACAGAATGCAGAGGAGGGTCGTTGTAACCTACACACACACACACAGACAGACAGACAGACAGACAGACACACGCGCACCTCAGTTACTGCTGGTCTTATCTGTGATGTGTCCTTGGCATTGTAGTTTTCGTGAAGGATCTGGCCTTCAGCTCTATTGATTTGGGGTTTTAAGATTTTTAAAGCTTTTATTCTCATCAATATTGCGAAATATTATTGCAATTAAAAATGGATTCTATTTCAATGTATTTTAAAATGTAATTTATTCCTGTTTAATATTTAATATAAAATGTATTCCTACTTAAGGTTTTGTTGAAACCAACCATTTTTTGTCAGGATTCTTTGATAAATACAAAGTTCAAAGGAACAGCATTTATTTGAATTTTTTTCGTAACATTCTAAACGGTCCTTACTGTCACTTTTGATCAATTTAATAAGTCCATGCTGAATAAAAAATATATTTTTTAAACTCATTAACCCTAAAAGTTTTGAACAGTAGTGTAAACCTAAGCATTAAATGTGGATGCATTACTCAGCGAACATAAATCATTTCTCAAATGGTGACACTTGTTGAGGAGAGGTGTTGCTATTACCTTTCTAACATTTAAAGGTCTCCTGAAGTGCCTTGAAACACGCAGCATTATTCTATGTGGTGACGTAATTTCAACTGAAACGGGAAGAGAGGGCGGGACATATCGAGCAGCCCCACCCCCTTTTTAAAATAGCCAATAGCGTTTTGTTTATATCTGCTCGGGCCAGATACGTTGAGCTCGGTAAAGCCGCATTTGACAGCCACAGTCTAATAGATTACCCCCTAGATTCAATATGAAACTCGTAAAACAAAATAGTGGTCATAATCATGCTGAGGCTGTGTAGTTGTAAAAGTTTTTAATATATGCTGACTCGCGCATATGATCCGCTCCGTGTGATCGGGTCTCTGGACCGGAGCCAAAGTCCGGATCAGACTGTGTGCGCTGCCGCGGTTCGCGTGACACAACGTGAAACCAGCACCTCATTTGCCCCAATCGAAAGCATATTTACACTGTCTGAATCGTTCCCTATCGCCTACATTGTACACTACGTGCCATTCACTGTACAGGAAATACTACACTGTGAACAAGTGACCCGTCTCAGCCGGCGCTTCAGCGTCTATTTATAGTGCAGGGGGCGGGTGCTTCGGATTCTAGAGAGCATTTGATTGGTCAGAAGATTTGATGAGAAGATGACGTACGATGTGACGTCAAAAAAATCGTTGAGCCGTTTTGGCGGAAGTGACGAACTGCAAGCTTTGAATGCTTATATCTTCTAAATGCGAATTTTGGCACTGTTTTGGAGCACACTGCCTTATAGATAAACTTAAGACTAACATATTGATACTAACACCCAAAAAACTTTAATTTTGATTTCATGTGGACTTTAAGATGTTTGATTTTGATTGATTGATTGATTTATTTTGATTTCTGGATGATAAAAATGGCAAAAAAGATTTAACAGTGGTTAAATATGGCTCAGGTCCGTCCTTCAAAGTAAACCTGTGGAGGTTTTCAATTTTTATCATGCGTTAGTTGAAAATTATATATCTGATCTCTTAGAACAGTAATAGTACACCTCTCTTCAACAAACTGCTTCATTTGCATTCTCATAGAGACTTAGCAACTGCATAGCAATGACCTGGCAACCACACAACACTTTAGTCTTCAGTCGTTTTGTCTTCAGTAAATGTAGTTTGGTAAATCTTTTCTGAATTAACTTGTATTAGAAAGTCCTGATACAATGTACATCTTCAACTCTTCATTTTTGTCATTGTCTCATGGTGAAAGCTGGTTATTTATTCTTCTATTCTGCAACATAGCTGCAGAGCGGCATTTTGACCATGAATGGCAATGGCAGCTCTTGTCATTGAGACTTTATTGAATGCTCAGCCAAAGGTGATGAGAGAGAACTTTCTGTTCTGAGCCGAGAGGTGTCTGTCGATCAGTTTGACTCTTAGACATCTTTGTTTGTGGCCAGTTGCTCAGGGGGTTTCTCTGCCCATGAGGAAAATACTGATTAAACTTACATAATCTTCTGGCAGCCACAAGTCTTAGTATTCGGCTGATTGTTTTTTTTTTCATTTGTTTTTGTGTGGTTTGTGTTTGTGTATGCATGAGTGTGAATGAGTCTATATAATATTTCAACTCACTGAAAGGACTCTAAGCTCCTGTCAGAAACAACCCTTGGCCAAACCACACTTTTTCTTGTACAGTCCCTTCTCTCCCTCTTCAAGTGTCATTTTCATTCTGGTTTTTGCTCTGTTTCTCTCTCTCGCTTTCATTTTCTCCCACACACACACGCACATTTCAACATAGAATAAACTTTACAGAAGTTTCACTCCAGAACACTGGAAACTGCCTGAAGCTCACAAAACCTCTCCGACCTGTTCTGAGCATGAAGAATTACATTAATAGTGTAACAAACATCTGCTTGTTTTCTTTAACTCTCTTGGATATCATGGCCGATTAACTCGACATCGTCTGCTTCAAGACCAGTCACAAGTTAATATTCAAATAAATGCTAGAAAGAATAAGTTTGAAAATGCACAACGTTTTGCACACTTTGCACTTTATTTGTTGCCTCTGGACAATAAATTCATATGAGATTTGTTGGCCTATTTCTCGTGTGTGGATCTTATTTGTTTTTTGTTCATTTTGTAATTTAGCCGACACTTTTATCCAAAGCGACAAATTATGAACATCACAAGCAATTTATGATGCAATTTATTTATTTTTTGATCTAAAATACAGTAAAAACAGTAATATTGTTAAATATTACAATTTAAAAGAACTCTTTTCCATTTGAATATATTTTAAAATGTAAATTATTCCTGTGATGGTAAAGTTGAATTTTCAGCATCATTAAGTCAAGTCACCTTTATTTATATAGCGCTTTATACAATCCAGATTGTGTCAAAGCAGCTTTACAGTGTTAAACAGGAAAAACAATAATGCAATGAAATATTTGTGTGGAAATCATCATACTGTTTTCAGGAAACTTTGATGAATAGAAAGTTCAAAAGCCCAGGATTTACTTGAATTAAAAAAAAAAAATCCTTAAAGTCTTTACTGTTATTTTTGATCAGTTTAATGTATCCTTGCAAATTTTTTTTAAAAACAAAAATTGTACTTACCCAAAATATTTGATTGGTGGTGTATTTTACATATTGCATATATATTATTGCATATATATTACAATGACTGCATTTACAGATAGAAATCAGAATTTGATCATATTGTTATCAGTATTCCTCAGCATCATTCTGAGTATTAAGTTGACAGATGAGAAAATTAATGGTAATGAGTTGATTTAAATTATGCTAATTACATGTATAAGTAAGTAGCATGTAAAAGTACATTTTGACTTTCTCAAAGTGTAAAAATAAAAATTGAACCGAATTTGTTGCAGGACATTCTGGTGAAGAATAAATAAATCAAATTAATTTCAGTACACTGCTGCCTTACAAGCATATCTGTTGCTGGTATATATCCACCGGTATTGCTTTGATACAGTATTTGCACATTCTTGTTCACAAAGTATCCACATATGGTAAACAGTTTTTATTATTGGGGATGTTTACCCATAATGCCCCTGTGGAGGGAAACCCCAGATTCCTGGAGTGAGGAGATGTTGTCAGGTGTGTGACGTGCTCATTCAGCCAGCAGAACTTCTGCCACTGGCTTCCATCACTTTGCTGTGGTTAAATGTTCAGGCCTCCAGGCATTGCCAGAACATGACAGCAATGAATAAAAACGCTTCACAAACCAATCTGTGAAAGGAGGGGGCAAGGAATTAGCCCCGGGAACATTGAGCAACCTTCTCCCCACTTGTACTGTCTCTGCCAGCAGTTGTTATTCGTAATCACTTCTGGTATGTATTCATGTTGCTTCAATTCAAATTTATTTGCAGTTCATCAAGGTTTAGACTCACTAAGAGCTATTTTTGGTGGTCTCCAACTTTATGTCCATTCATTAAAATATTTTTATAAGTAATCAGGATTGTGCTATTAGTTTTGGCTGTTTTCACTTAGTTAGCTCTGTTCAAAAAGCAGTTTCTATTGTCTACATAGGCAGCATGACTGAAATGGACCCTTCTAAGTGACTGGTTTGGAATGCTATGCACAGGTAGCAACAAATTGCAATCAAATAGTTTCAGATTTTGATATCGGCATGTTGCAAAGCTAATAATAAATTTGTCAGTATTGCACAACATCTGTCTTTATAATCCCCTTTCATCTTGGGTAACTTATTTCAGCATGTATTTGATGCCGTCTTGGAATTCAGCCATAATAAGGTTGCAATGAAGATATAATGTTGCTGCCTAGATTTTAGAGCAGCCGTCATGTCAAGAGCATGCCTATGATTACCTCAAAGTGCTGTCTATGCAGACAGCACACTTAGTTTTGGAACAGAGCTGTTGATTTTAAGGCATTTGTCATCTTTGCCCTCCAGAGATCTCGTTGCAAACTTTGTGATCTTCTGTTTTGGTTGGTCATCCTATTTTTGGTGTAGAGTGTTCAATGTAGCTGTCCTTCTCTGCACCATTGAGTCACAGTAGCCAGACAGAGAAATTGCCAAAACTTGCCCAAGTGTTTGTTTGCTTTGGGAGAAAGTAGGTGAAATATGTTCCTACACTGTCTGTTCTGCAGCGATGCCAAGCTCAAAGAACCAGCTCCTCAACGAGGTGATGCAATGTTCATTCTCAGTCATCCTCAATGAAAAACAAAAACCGCTGTTATTCAGTTCATAGTCAGACTTCTGACAAACAGCATAATGTCTTAGTCCACATTTCAGCTTTTTCTGTTCACCTTGACAGGAACAGACAGTTTGAGCAACACAAAGTGAGTTTATTACATTTTACATGCAGTTTAGCAGAAACTGTGTAGAATTTCTATAATAGTCTATAGTTCTTATTTGGATGACATAATTTCTGATCACACAAAACAAAGCGGAGTATGCTGTTCAATTTGTGCAAATATAGTTTAATTGTCAAAAAAACCCAATTAAATTTTTCCATTGGCTTTTGCATTATTGCAGAAATGAAGCAACCATCAAAAGTTTATGATTCTTATACTTTTTCTTCATCGTGATACTGTTCACAAATGAACATGAATTTGGTCTAAATACAATTGCTAGAAAGTAAAAAGATAAAGGCAGTCTATAAACAAACTACGCAGGGTCACATGACTCCCAACGCCACCACCACAAAACCTCTGACAACTCTTTCAGTCTTTATTTAAAAAGCATTTTCCCACGATTAGAGACCGAATGAAGCTGAAGAATGAAATGACTAGATGAGTTTACCTTTTTGCTGTGATGCAATTAATGTCTATTGTAGTCCTATTTAGCCTCTTTTTAGCAGCTGCCTTTTTCGAAACAAGTAAAAGCTTTACAAATGTTACAAGTGGATATTACTGACATATGTCTTATTTTTTGAGCTTGTGTTAACCACAGACCTTTCAGACATTTAATCAAAAACCCATTCAAAAAATCCATTGACTTCAGGATGATGGAACTGGAAGTGCTAAATGCAACTCTTTTCTGGGTTTTGGCTTACAAAAATATGTCATCCCTGCAGCTCTATTTGTTTAGCCTTGTAAATGCAGTTTGGTTTCCAGATTCCAAAAAACTCTGTCCTTACTCTCGAAGGTTGCACAAAGTCAGCCAATCAGATTAGATCGTGCTAGATTGAGAAGTTCAGCTGGTCAGTGAACAGACTGTGGGTGGTCCGTGGACGTGCCGCTTTTTGTTACTTGAATCTCTTTCCTGCATGCATTTAATTTTCCTTTATTTTGCAGTCTAAACAGCCAGTAAAAGAGCTTCATTCCCACAGCACAACCCCCCCCCCCCCCAACCCCCCCAAAGTG